ACAATAAAAAAACTACATATTTCCATGCAAAAAAATGGTACCGCTTTCAGTACAAAAAATCGGAAAGAATCATACCGCCAGGGAGGTTAAACACATTGTGGGGATTATTTGTGATGATTGTGCTAATGTGTTTACACATCACTTTTTTTAGAAATAGACAGTTTAAACCTGACTTAAACCTAATTTTGGATTGGAAATGGTTAAAGCGGAGTTCCATTCACCCTGTCAAAAAATAAAAGTCAGCAGCTACAAAAACTGTAGCTTCTGACTTTTAAAAGACAGCCACATCCCTGTCCCACGATCTGGCGGTGTGTGTCCCGCAGCTCGTTTCACCGGCCGTCCTGTATTCCAGGAGGCCGGCACCTTCAGTGTGGTCACCCGGCTGTGATAGCTTGCAGCTTCACAGCCGGGTACCCAGTGCGCATGCGCAAGTAGCACTGCGCTTCATGAATGGTCCTGTAGTCTTCTGGGACCTGTCACGTGTCCCACAAGACTACAGGGAGGGAGAACACCTTCCGTTTCTGATCGCCTAGGCAATCGGACCGGAAGTGGGAGCGGGTACCTGTCAAATTTGGGTACCCGCCCCCCAAAGGTGCCAATCCTTAATGGGGAGCAGTCTTTAAAGCGGAATTTCGACTTTTGGGTGGAGCTCCGCTTTAACCCTTTCAAACTCTGGAGTAACAAAAACCTTCACAACCAGACCAAAATTTGTCACAGTACCTTTCTAACTGCATACCAAAATGATTTTTGCACCATTCTTTAGGCAGATGTAGGGCCTTTATTTGGCAATGTGTTTTTAAAAATACTCTGAATATATTTTTTGCCAAAAAATGCAAAAATATTGTAGTTTTAGCCCCCAATCACACTGCATTCGAATTAGAAATCTTGCAAATTCACTTGAAGTCGCACGATTTCAAACTCCCATGTCAATGCGACTTTCGGGTGCGACATTGCAGACATCTGTGCGACTTCATGCACAAATGTCTATACAGGTCGCACCCAAAATTGGCAAAAGTAGTGCAGTAACTACTTTTCAAATCGGTGCAACTGATTAGAACGGTTCCATTGCCAATCATTGGATGCGATTTGTCATGCGATTTGAATGGTCAAGTCGCATGAGAAGTCGCATCAGTGTGAACATTATTTAAAATACTGTCACTTAATTATCATCTGCTATTTATGCTGAGTCCAACACAACAAACACTTTATTCCTGCGCTAGGAAAGGACTCAGTAGACCCAATAGGAATGTTCTGGAATTTTCTGGAATATGCACTGCTTGTTGCCCTCAATAGACCGGGGTGGTCCAAATACACTGGATACAAATGGAGAAACAGAAAAAGGGCGCACCGACCTAGTGCATTATCGTTTAAAATAATTTATTGAAGAAACAAAATAGGTATCATACTCACAATGGACATAACACAGGCAAACTGAACAAGATATATGATCCAAACAACATCTGAGTCCATACGATGGAACCCTGGATGACCAACTGGCTAACGCGTTTCGAGGACACAACCTCTTCCTCAGAGCCTCTGAGGAAGAGGTTGTGTCCTCGAAACGCGTTAGAAAGTTGGTCATCCAGGGTTCCATCGTATGGACTCAGATGTTGTTTGGATCATACATCTTGTTCAGTTTGACATGCTTGTGTTATTATGTCCATTATTTATGCTGAGTAGAGGGACATACATACGTATACATAGTATCGTATAGTCAAATAAGCGTGTATATGTTACACTAAGTATGAATACTTTAGATTTCATGATTGTTTGTTGCTGGGAAGGGGATGCAAACATTCTTTTGGTTACCATAATTTGTTAATCAGGTGTCTGTACAACTCTGCAAGACTGAAGGGATAGCTGGAGCGCAGCTTTAAATCCAGGCTTGGTTCAAGTGTAGGTGCGTTTCTGCATGTCCCATGTCCTATGCTCGAGAAACACATAAAATAAGTCCCTGGCCCTTTATAAAAACGTGCCGCATTAAACCGCTTGGTGTATGCAAAAACGCATGGGATTGCCATTAACACTTAATTGTACCACTGCTCATCTGCTAAAAGGCAGCAATCTTTGGAAATCTTGAAATCCTGCAGTTTTGTGCACGTTCCTAACATGCAAAGATCTGAAGCTAGCCTTATACGTAGAGAAAAATGAAAGAACTGTTCAGCTGTCACACACAATGCCTATATAACAGGTTTATTCACATGTCGAGTCTGTTTAGATTTAAGTCCTCATGCACACTGGGCCTCTTTACAGCGGCTGTTTTCGGCTTCTGGCGGTTTTTGGGGTTTTTTTTTCTACAGGCAGTAAACTCCCCAGCATGTTATCCTATGTGTCCATTCACACATTAGGCTTTAATCAGCGGTTTTTGGCTGTAAAAACACTCGAATGCCAGTAAACCCGCTAAAGCAAGGCAAAGCAGCATTTGAGTTTTTTGTCTTTTTTTTAGCTAAAAAATATTTTTTGTGTTTTAAATAAAAAAACAAAAAAAAAAAAAAAACACTAAAACATGCTAACATGGCTAAACGCTAATGCAAAAACACGGAAATGTTTGAGCTTATAACGTGACTTTTTACAGCTAACGCTACTGGTGTATTTTAAACACCCAGTGTGCTTGAGGTCTAAAGCAGAACTTCATCTAAAAGTGGAAATTTCGCTCTTCGGTATTTTCGGTTGCTTTTTCGGTATTTTTCTTTTGGGGGGGAGCGGGTGCCCGGTTCTCACAGGTACCCGCTTCCACTTTCGCCTGAGTGATCCGAGCAGACGTTCATCCCCACACCCCTCCTTTCTGTCCGCAACCTTCTAGGACACATCCCAGGTCCCAGGAGGCTGCAGGACCATTCGCAGGGTACAGTACTGCACAGTGGGAAGCCGGCTGTGAAGCCGCAAGGAGTGACAGCTGGTGCCCCACAGTTAACATGCCAACGGCGAACACCCGAAGACCGGCGAAGAACCAGCCCTGGGTTAGGATGGTCCTGGATCCCTGGACAGGTGAGTGTTTATTAAAAGTCAACAGCTACAGGTGAAGGGATGGATGTTGCTCAACCGACCCCAGGAGTCCAATGTTGAGGACCCCAGGAGTCCAATGTTGAGGACCCCATGAGTCCAATGTTGAGGACCCCAGGAGTCCAATGTTGAGGACCCCAGGAGTCCAATGTTGAGGACCCCAGGAGTCCAATGTTGAGGACCCCAGGAGTCCAATATTGAGGTACTCCTGGGGTCAGTTGAGCAGCATCCATCTCTTCAGTTGCATTGGCTAACATTAGAATTGCTCAGACTCATGCTCCCCTCTTCTCACTTGCTGGTGGGGTGATTTTTTTTTTCCTTCCATCCATAGCTTGGAGTTGCGCCATTTTCAGCAGCTGCAGGATTTGTAACTGCTAACTGTTCGGTTTTGGAAACTGGAGACCGGACATGCATGGATCAAAATTTGGCTGGTTCATCAGGAACCGTCCGAATTTCAATCCATGTGTAGCTTTTCCTGTTCATGAGAAGTTGATCTAAAGATTGACTTCTCATAAATCAGCTTGTTGGAAGAATTTAATTTAATCAGCGCATGCAGCCAATAAGCTGCAGCACTGATCAGTGTATTCTCATGGCGGGAAAATCCCGTTGTCAGAATACAGTGACAAAGCAGAAAGGATTCCAGCATTCACATCAAATGTGTGGATGGGTGAAACGGGGTTCAGTATCTTTCATTCATCCTGCTGACTAAACAAAGAAAACTGAACCATGTATGGCCAGATTTAGGCATGGGGGTTGACCCTCATGCCAGGGTACTAGGTGTAATCCTAGACTCCCATCTGTCCTTTCAGCCGCAAATCCAATCACTGTCCAAATCTTGTAGACTTCACCTCCTCAACATCTCCAAGATACGACCGTTCTTAACCTCGGAAACAACTAAGCAACTTATTCACTCCCTTGTTATATCTCGCCTTGACTATTGTAACTCCCTCCTCATTGGCCTACCTCATCGCAGGCTATCCCCTCCTCAGTCTATCATGAATGCTGCTACCAGACCCATCCACCTTACTATCCACTCTGTATCTGCTATCCCTCTCTGCCAATCCCTCCACTGGCTTCCCATTGCCCAAAATTAAAAACATTAACAATAACATATAAAGTCATTTATAACTCTGCTCCAAATTATATCCCCAATCTTGTCTCTAAATATCACCCAAACCGTACTCTCTGCTCCTCCCACAACCTCCTGCTCTCTAGCTCCCTTGTCTCCTCCTCCCATGCTCGTCTCCAGGACTTCTCCTGAGCCTCCCCTATCCTCATGACTCTCTACCGCAATTTATCAGACTATCGCCTGCTCTGCTCACTTTTAGGCGATCTCTGACAACCTATCTCTTCAGGGAAGCCTATCCTGCCTTCAGCTAATAACAGAATCTTCTACTCTGCCAACCAGTCCATCCCCCACAGTTATTACCTTTTGTACTAGTAGCCCCTCCCTCTTAGATTGTAAGCTCCAAGGATCAGGCCCTCCTAACCCTCTTGTTTTGAACTGTATTGTTGCTGTATTGTCTCCCACTATATTGTAAAGCGCTGAGCAAACTGTCGGCGTTATATAAATCCTGTATAATAATAAAAATATAATATTAATTTCCTGAAACTGAAGAGTGCATAATCTGGAGCAGCTCTGCATAGAAACCAATCCGCTTCCAGGTTTTATTGTTGAAGTTTAATTGAACAAGCTGTAGTTAGAAGCTGATTGGCTACCATGCACAGCTGCACCAGTTTTTTCACTCTCCAGTTTTAGTAAATTAACCCCATAGTGTGGTGTTTAACTACTTATGATGGCTACACTCTGGCCGGCCAGTTCTGGGAGGCCGCCATATGACGTCCTCCCAGAATGCGCTCTCCTGCGTGCCCCCGGCGATCTCCGTGATCACTGTGTCCTACAGACACAGCTGATCACGTGATGTGGTAAAAGGCCAATCACAGCGGCCTTTTACCACGTGATCAGCCATGTCCAATGACACGCTGATCACCGAGAAATGCAATTGCCAGTTCTCGGCTGCACTTTCCTCACGCTGTCAGATTGTGAGGAAAGTACTGCCGAGAACCGGCAGTTGTCAGAGCAGGCATCGGCACCGATCATCAGGGCACTGATGATCAGTGCCCTGATGATCGGTGCACAGCAGTGCCACCCACCAGCTTCGCCCACCTTTGCTCAGCAGTGCGCCCACCTGTGTCCAGCAGTGAACCCACCTGTGCCACCCACCTGTGCCCACCAGTGCAGCCCAGTGCAGCCCAGCAGTGCTGTCAGTCAGTGCTACCAGTCAGTGCCCAGCGGTTGTGCCAGTCAGTGCCCAGCAGTTGCGCCAGTCAATGCCTAGCAGTGCCGCCAGTCAGTGCCACCTATCAGTGCCGCCTATCCGTGACACCTCATTAGTGCTGTCTATCAGTGCAGCTCATCAGTGCTGCCTATCAGTGCCACCTATTCGTGCCCATCAGTGCTGCCTCATCAACGCACATCAGTGAAGGAGAAAAATTACCTGTCTGAAAAATGTTATAATAGAAACAAAGAAACTTTTTTTTTCTTCAAATTTTTTGCAATTTTTTTGTTTATAGCGCAAAAAGTAAAGCGCCCAGCAGCGATTAAATACCACCAAAAGAAAGCTCTATTTGTGAGAAAAAAATGATAAAAATTTCATATGGGTACAATCTTGCATGACCGCGCAATTGTCAAAGCGCGACAGCGCTGAAAATTGGCCTGGTAAAGAAGGGGGTATAAGTGCCCGGTAGGCGAGTGGTTAATATACGTGACCGGTCCTCTTTAACACAGATGTTGTTTCAGTATCCACCTCTAAGCACTGTTCATGTGGGACCGATAAGGAGCAGATATCAGCAGTAGCTGATCACACCCTCTATGTGGAATGTCCTTTCTCTCAGCGTGTCACTGATCTACAGTTGTGACCAAAATTATTCAACCCCCACTGAAATTGAGTGTTTTGGCCAGTTTGACATTGCTTTTGATCATTCAGTCATCTTGCTTACATTTACATTAAAGAGGCACTTGTAGGTCAGACAAATATAACATAACAGTTATAATGAAATAACCACAAATGTCTTTTCTGTGCTCACAGCATTATCAGTTTTATTCAACCCCCAAGTGACATTCAATCTTAGTACTTAGTACAGCATCCTTTTACAGTTATAACAGCTTTTAAACGTGAAGCATAGCTTGACACAAGTGTCTTGCAGCGATCTACGGGTATCTTCGCCCATTCTTCATGGGCAAAGGCCTCCAGTTCAGTCACATTCTTAGGCTTGCGCACTGCAACTGCTTTCTTTAAGTCCCACCAGAGGTTCTCAATCGGATTTAAGTCTGGTGACTGCGATGGCCACTCCAAAATGTTCCAGCCTTTCCTCTGCAACCATGCTCTAGTGGACTTGGAGGTATGCTTGGGATCATTGTCCTGTTGAAAGGTCCAACGTCTCCCAAGCCTCAGGTGTGTGACGGACTGCATCACGTTTCCATCCAATATCTCCTGGTACTGAAGAGAATTCATGGTACCTTGCACACGCTGAAGCTTCCCTGTACCTGCAGAAGCAAAACAGCCCCAAAGCATGATTGACCCTCCACCATGCTTCACAGTAGGCAAGGTGTTCTTTTCATCATAGGCCTTGTTCTTCCTCCTCCAAACATAGCGTTGATCCATGGGCCCAAACAGTTCTAATTTTGTTTCATCAGTCCACAGAACACTATCCCACAACTTTTGTGGTTTGTCCACATGGCTTTTGGCATACTGCAGTCGACTCTTCTTATTCTTTGGAGACAGCAAGGGGGTACGCCTGGGAGTTCTGGCACGGAGGCCTTCATTACGCAGTGTGCGTCTTATTGTCTGGGCTGAAACTTCTGTACCCACATCTGACAAATCTTTTCTCAGTTCCTCAGCAGTCACACGGGGACTTCTCTCCACTCTACGCTTCAGGTAGCGCACAGCAGTCGAAGTCAGCATCTTCTTTCTGCCACGACCAGGTAGCGTTTCAACAGTGCCCTTTGCCTTGAATTTGCGAATGATGCTTCCTAAGGTGTCTCTTGGTATGTTTAACATCTTTGCAATCTTCTTATAGCCATTGCCCTTCCTGTGAAGAGAAATCACCTCTTCTCTTGTCTTCCTGGACCATTCTCTTGCCTTCACCATGTTTGTAACCACACCAGTAAATGTCTAGAAGGAGCTGAGTATCACAGTCATTTTAAAGCTGCCTAATTGGTGCTTATTATGCTTGATTGCTGCTCGGTGACATCCACAGGTGTTTTCAATACCTGATGGAAAGCACCTGTATGAACCTCTGTTCTTCAGAGTGGTAGTCTTTAAGGGGTTGAATAATTGTGGCAATGAAGAAACCACATAAGAACCATTTACTACTGTATTACATAAACAATTGATGTCATTTTAGTTGCATTTGGGTAGTTACAACGTCCTTGTAGGATTTGATTCTGAATACAATTCCAAATGTACACTATAGTCCCTAAACCCCTTTACAGCATTGGGGGTTGAATAATTTTGGTCACAACTGTATAGCGGAACATGAAGAATTGGCTTCCTCAACGCATTAAAATATTCTCATGAATTCAGATAAGAGAGCTGCATGCCTTCCTGTCCCGGCATCCTTCTCCATAGTGCTGTCTCCTGTAGAGCTCTGTCCCAGCGGGAGGTCCTATATGCTGCTAGGGAAGTCCCAGTCTTGTTAAATATTTGATTACTGTCCTCCCTGTGTTTGATCTTCCATGTGACAGCATCTGGAGAATGTAGGAGCACATGACTGTTGAGAAATGTTTATGACGGGTGTATCCTAAAGAATAGGCGTGATGTTAACACAACTAATCTCTCCTGTATCCCAGCAAATCAAGCCAGTTTGCAAAGGCAATGTTTTTCCTTGCTCTGGCTGTCCACGTAGAGCTGTGCTGACGCAGAGTTGCACTGCTTGTTTTCCATAAAAACTGAAAACAGTTGTGAGGATGGAACACCTACTACAGTTGTGAATTGGAAAGTCCATCTGCCTCTGAGCTGTGACCAAAAATACCCAAATAGTGACAAAAGTCAGCCAGCCTTTGAAGCTTTACTTAATTGTGGGAAAGTTTGAACGTTCACTGTGATTTGCTTTTTTTTTTATTATAAAGTGTGTAAATGGCATGCTAAAGTGTTTACTAAACCCACAACAGTACAATCAGTCTGTATATGCAGTAAAACATGCTTGTTATACTCACTGTGGAACCTAAGGGGTTAATCCTCCGCATTGTGTAAAAAGGATGTTTGATCCTGTTTTCTCTGATCCTCCCCTACTGTCGCTAATCCTTCTGCTGATAGAACAGAGCCTTGGGGGCAAGCTGCACATGCTCAGTTTGGTATGTATTGCTAGAGAGTTTTTTCTTTTCTTAAGAGAGTGCTTATGATCAGCACAGGACCAATGAGCACTGTCCAGACAGAGGGTCAGGGGTCCTGTGGCCTCATAGGACAATCAAGGGAGAATGAAAACTACAAGCTTTAACCAGTACTCTGCTGTACACTGATAGAAGTCACAAGACTGCTGTAACTGCTGATGAAAAGGTATTTAGCAGTTTATATTTACTGCAATAATTGCATTTCCATGTTCTGTGTACTGTGGAAGACCAGATATAGTGAATTCAGGTTTATTAACAATTCAAGGCCTTGTTCATGCTTGCGGCAGTTACTCTGAAAAGCAATCTGCTGTGTGTCGCTTTTCAGAGGCGGTTTTCACGCGCTCAGGAGGCGATACTGCCTCCCCCTGAATAATTTTTCCAGTTGAGGGAGATTTTGCATTAAAATAAAACACTCCAGCCAAAAGGTAAGCGTTTGGCTAACAGTTGCGGCTCTGTCCTGTTGCCTTCAGTGGACTAGTTCGATAGGTGGCGCTGCCTGTCCAGCTTGGCTTTTTTTATACCAACAATATCCACCCAGAGGCTGCCAGATTTATTTACTGCTTCTGGGTCAGAGGTAATGACAGGCTGCTTGAGCCATCTGCCCGCTGACATGCAGAATGAGATGCACACATGCAGTTTCAGAAAAGTTATAGCACCATAAATTGCATTTTACATAATAAGAAGTCTTAAATATTAGACATTCAACAGTTAATTGAATAAATTGACAGGATTAGTAGAAAATCCTTTTAATTACAAATAGTCAAACCTTACCCTTCAATGAAGGTTACACAATGAGGCTATTTATAAACCGATTAGCTGGATTACATCTAATTTCTACTGGGATTCATTCCTGTATCCTGTAAATCCGCGGAGCCCATTATCATCCTAGAAAAAGGGCTGACCAGGAAACTTTCTTGTAGCTCACATTGTCATCTTTGTGCTTCAATCATATACTGCTGATTGCTTCTGAACTGGATGGTATGGTGTAAGGAGGACCAGGTCACGTCTTGCACCAGGGCCCTCTGGTATTTCATTAGGTATTTGTACAATAGGAAGACGCACCAGCACAGACAATCGCATATTGCGGTACAACACTAGGGAAAATGAGAAAGTCAAATGATTGTGAAAATTGGGAAATTGTATGCTGTTCACATATTTACCAAATAACAAAGAAGAAAACATACAGTCAGGTCCATAAATATTGGGACATCGACACAATTCTAACCTTTTTGGCTCTATACACCACCACAATGGATTTGAAATGAAACGAACAAGATGTGCTTTAACTGCAGACTGTCAGCTTTAATTTGAGGGTATTTACATCCAAATAAGGTGAACGGTGTAGGAATTACAACAGTTTGCATATGTGCCTCCCACTTGTTAAGGGACCAAAAGTAATGGGACAATTGGCTTCTCAGCTGTTCCATGGCCAGGTGTGTGTTATTCCCTCATCATCCCAATTACAATGAGCAGATAAAAGGTCCAAAGTTCATTTCAAGTGTGCTAATTGCATTTGGAATCTGTTGCTGTCAACTCTCAAGATGAGATCCAAAGAGCTGTCACTATCAGTGAAGCAAGCCATCATTAGGCTGAAAAAACAAAACAAACCCATCAGAGAGATAGCAAAAACATGGCCAAAACAACTGTTTGGAACATTCTTAAAAAGAAGGAACGCACCGGTGAGCTCTGCAACACCAAAAGACTCGGAAGACCACGGAAAACAACTGTGGTGGATGACCGAAGAATTCTTTCCCTGGTGAAGAAAACACCCTTCACAACAGTTGGCCAGATCAAGAACACTCTCCAGGAGGTAGGTGTATGTATGTCAAAGTCAACAATCCAGAGAAGACTTCACCAGAGTGAATACAGAGGGTTCACCACAAGATGTAAACCATTGGTGAGCCTCAAAAACAGGAAGGCCAGATTAGAGTTTGCCAAACGACATCTAAAAAAGCCTTCACAGTTCTGGAACAACATCCTATGGACAGATGAGACCAAGATCAACTTGTACCAGAGTGATGGGAAGAGAAGAGTATGGAGAAGGAAAGGAACTGCTCATGATCCTAA